CTGTATGCCCCGTCCTCTCATTAAAAATGTTGAAAACATATTACTAGATACCCCCTTGCCTCAAAATCTTTTTTAGCAGGAGGGGGAAGGGGGGCAAGAACCACGTGTTACAGGAGGAAGGGTTAGAGTTGGCGTTATAACCCTGCGTTAAGTGTCGAGGTTACCCTAGGGTTAGGTTTGGTGTTAACGCTAGGATTAAGGTTGGGATTAACGCTACCGTTAGGGTTGCAGTTACCCAAGGCCCGACTACATATATCTGCATTTGGTTGCTGATGATGACAAGATTTTGGGTATGGATTGTAGTGTTCCCATCATCTGCCTATATATACTGACAACACAACAAATTGAGTACTAGACTGTACACTAGTATGCTATGTGAAAATGATCTTCATTATTGCCAATATATTTCATAGCTTAAGCTTTCTATTCTATATAGCCCCTACTGGGAAGATTTGGGAATTCGAAACGTTAATAGCCTGAAAGCAGGACTAATGTGTCTGAAGTATGACATAGACACTTGAAAGACACTGTTTCAACCAATGACAAGTTTTAACTATCAAAGACCTGATGTATTTTAATCACATTTTAGAGCTTTGTATCTGTCAATATTGCATATCATGCACATGTTAACTGGGCTATTCTGGATTGGAAAGATCTTATTTTAGCATGCTTAGATTGTGCGCGGTATAGTAATATAGACCATGCATGGGTTTATTCCTAATGATATATAATATAAATGCACTTGGTTTAATTAATATTCAGTTGCAGTCTGCATACAGGAATATTATCTGGCCAAGAAGTCATAGACTGACTATCTTGCCATCAACTTAGCCTGGTGAACTGAGTTGCCTTGTAAAATGTGAAAGAGACAACAGATTTTGCTGCACACTGCAAATGAATATTAAACCAAGTTAATCTTGCCACTGTGGAAGAGTATATTTAGATATTGAGATTAGAAGAAGAAAACCATTTACCATTTGCATCTTGCACATCAATTGATTACCAAATGTGTACAACTTGCCAAACTAACCCATCTTATTTGAAGTTAGTACCAAGCCCATGCAACAAACAAACAAATACTCATAGAGATTTCAGACATTAGGCCTACGTACTTAAGCCTGTACCCAGACAATTAGTTATAGGAGAATATACACAAAGACATTTAGGTCAATGAAAGTGCGTAAATTGCCAAAAGTATAGGCTATAATTTGCAAGTAGGTATAAACCATAAGAATATTCCAGTTTAGGGCATGGAATTTTGCCTCATGAGAACAACCCATATTACTATGCCTGCACAAAAATGTTTTCCATCTGAAATTTCATATATATTTAAAACAAGCCTAGAAATGTTCAAAATGAAAAAAACAATAAAATTTCTAAAATTGAAAAGTAATTTTAATAGTAAAAAGATTTAGGAAAAGAGTACTAATTAATACAAAGTACTCTTGATACAGACAAACAGTACAAATGGAATACCAATCAAAATATTAAATTGTTTCCTGCAAAATAGATCCTAAAGAATTAGAAAACAACGATGAAATAATGATTCTTGCTATGACTGTAGTCAACCTACCTATTCAGATCGAGCAAATTTAAGCTTAAAAATATGGCCAGATAGGCGCTTGGTCTCTGGATGGAAACTTCGAACATTTAAATCATGACAAAGGTTATCAAATTCACAAAGCTTAAAGTGGAAGTCAAGTCCGTCCTGCGCATAGGTTCTGCTCATAACAATGTGAGGACCCTCTAATGTAAACGTTGCCCAAATTTCGAATGTTTCGAATTTTTCTGAACACAAACTTTATTTCATATTCATTTAGAAGCATAGCGAACCAAAATGGTGTTTGATATTCAGACAGTACATCATATTTTAAAAAATACAGCAGTTCAAAATGTAAACAAACCGTTTGTTTTTCCAAGCGCAAGAAGCGCACTCCTCTACCACCCCTCCGTAAGTACAATTTCAATTTAGCACCCACAATCTGGGAGCCACGTAGGTGACCAGCTATTGCCAGGGTCTTTCCTCCAGTCAGAAGCGTAGTGGAAAGAGCCTGGGTACTAGGTTGGTTTCATCCCTTCTATTAATATTTATTATCCTCGCCTTTCCGCTCGCGCGCCCGCAATCTTGCTGTTATTTTCGTTGGAACGCCATGTAATATTTTTGTTTTGTCAATTTATTCGCCATATTTGAACAATAGCAAACTATGTTGTTTATGTTTGTGAATGTTTGAAGCTATTCACTGTATAAAATGCAAGCTCTTATGATTTATACAAGTAAGTGCAATAATTTAAATATATTACGTTAAGATGTTTTATTCATATTACGTTTAATTAATATGATGTTTTATTCATATTCATAACACAGTTCTTACAGTTGGACCCCCTGTGTCTATATACATGCAGTTCAGAGCTCTCTTGTTGTTTTGTTGTGGATAAATGCAAAAAGTTGTTAAAAATCCGCCATTTTATCTTCAAAACAAAATTTCCTGCCACTACAGTCACCATGTCGTTCGATTGCAAAGTGACGACTCCTACCGTCATGCATAGCGGGCATCGCTTTTAGGCAAATGGCCCATTAACTGCATTAATTTTCGCGCCGAAATGTTTAATCAAATCTAAATCCCTGCATGCGAAACAAGTCAATCTCGCGGTTTCACCGCTCGCTGGTACAAGATCGAGATCGACTTGTGACAAGTCTACTACTTTACATGCGCCGAATGGTTCACATAATGAATTCCCTTTTGCAACAAGTATATCCACAGGAGGCCCAGGCTCGATTTGCCCGCGCCCGCCTGTGCCTTCCTTATAACGAGGGAAGGAAGGAGACATTGAGACCAAAATAGCCCAGACTTGCATATGTCACACGAAACTATCCTCGATTTTTCACCTTTAAATGCATTTCTTTCACGATTAGTCGATATCCCCTGCAAGAATGATATCGTATAACTCTCAAAACAACGATGCTTTAATCAAAGAGCTTAAATTCGCTCTAAACTTCGTGAGGGAACGACAAAATTCGGCCAAAATATATCCGCGTGCCGGGTTTGCTGGACAAAAAGCGGAAGTCGTTGAACAACTCAAAATACATTCAAACCTGATTGGACAACGAATATCAACAAACATTTCAAATTATTTTGACAAACACAATGTCGACAATGTGAAATACAATTTATTATACATATTAACGTACTACAGTTATATTTACATGCAGTAATATATACACTTTATTATAACGTTTGTGAATAGTTTTGTTTGTATGATTGAAATTATTACAGTACTGTTAAAATAATTTGAAATGTTTGTTGATATTCGTTGTCCAATCAGGTTTGAGTGTATTTTGAGTTGTTCAACGACTTCCGCTTTTTGTCCAGCAAACCCGGCACGCGGATGTATTTTGGCCGAATTTTGTCGTTCCCTCACGAAGTTTAGAGCGAATTTAAGCTCTTTGATTAAAGCATCGTTGTTTTGAGAGTTATACGGTATCATTCTTGCAGGGGATATCGACTAATCGTGAAAGAAATGCATTTAAAGGTGAAAAATCGAGGATAGTTTCGTGTGACATATGCAAGTCTGGGCTATTTTGGTCTCAATGTCTCCTTCCTTCCCTCGTTATAAGGAAGGCACAGGCGGGCGCGGGCAAATCGAGCCTGGGCCTCCTGTGGTATATCCGCTCGAGGTTAGTTTTATATTGATATATATTGTGATAATTTTTGTCCTACAATATCGCTCGTATAGGAACTGTCTTATACAGTGTGTATAAGAAAAAGGTAACGAACTTCAGCGCGCTATTGTATAACCGAAATCTGCGTACGTATAACCCAAATTTTTTCATATTCGGAAAAATCAGGCTTTTAGCTGTTGAATGATATGTTCTTATGCCAAATGGATAAACAATGAGCAAATACGAATCCGATAAAAAATGTTAGTCAGATTCGCATATTTTCACCGTTGAGAGTTGGGTCTAAAACCATTGAAAATTAATCCCCTTTGGGACTTAAGTTGATGAATTTCACTTCAATAAACTACGCACATATTCGTCATTATTATCAAGTAGGAATAAATCTTAGATATATAAGCTATGACGACTTCGTGATTATGGCTTTTTCATTTGTGGTGCACTGCTTTAATTAGGCACAGAGGTGAAAATATGCGATTCGGGCTAACATTTTTTATCGGACTCGTACTTGCTTATTTTTTCTTTTATGCTTAAGAATTGCAAAGTGGATTTTTTAGGAAACTCCGAGGTTGCGTTTTTGTATACACCCGGTATAATGCGTACCTTCTCTCGGTAAAAAATTTGTCTCCAAGTAGGGAATTTCTTAGGGAATTTCGCGCGGTTGACAGGAGTGCGAATTGTTTTTTCAACAAAGTTTGCAAAATATATTTTATAGAAAAGAGAAAACTAAAGGGGAGGAGCGTTTTTAAAAACCCAAAACAAAAGTCAAAACACATGCATGCAAAAGATTCAGACAAACTAGATACTAAATAGGTATATACGTTCTGAAACTATTTCAACTGTTTCATAATGCAAATAGCTAGAGTTCAATAATCTCTAGTTAGATTTGAACAATTACTCTTCATATTTTTCCAAGTTGCTTGAGCTTTTAGACAACGCAATTCATTAATAACTAATCACTTTTTGTTTCAAAAACATGAAAATACTTCATGTGTAAATTAAGTTTGAAGAAAAACGAAATCCGACGAAGAATGGACTATCCTTAGTGAGATATTAGCACAAAGTTGACGGCGCTCAGAGCAATAAAATTGTTTTAAGAGTAAATTATGTTTACGCGAAACTACTTTGTTTTTACAAAAATGCACAATTTTCAGTTTTTGTAACTGCACCACTGGCACTGATGTAGCACTTACATTTGCTTTGTGCCTTCAAAGAACTTGATATTTCAAAGTCATATCTTCAATTAAGCTGCAAATTAGACAACAAAATTAATTTTTTAAATGATAAATACTTAGTTTTAGCATTGTTAAAACTAATGCCAAATATCGCCTTGGCAATTGTCCGTTTCATAAACCGCCAGGGTCACCAGTAACAACCAGTGTCACCACTGTCAATGTCACTACAGTCGCCTCGTGCCGGGCTTTGTTCGGCCATGTGCAAGCTTCGGAATAATGTTTTCCTGAAAACAACTCGTTTAGGACTAATAAAATCGGCAAACTACATTATAGAAAAACTTTATTAGTTAAAACGCTATCGTCTTAAAAGCTATTTGTTTGCTATCGTCTTAAAAGCTATTTGTTTCCAAGGGTGGCGTATATTTAAAAATACAGTATATATGTGTGTGCATGAGTATGGATACTATTTATTACGTAATATATATTATGTAATTTTGAATAGCGTTGCGACGTCACAGCACATGCAACGTTCTACAGCATCCAAAATAGCATGTGCGTCAAACGCATGGCAATTCTGGTGCACAAGTCGCAAACCAATGTTTACCCGTCTACAAGCGCCACTGAAAGAAATACTCTATATCGTTGTAAATATTCAGTTTTGGGACGATTTGGATAACTAATTCTTTGTCAAAATTTCGTAAGACAATCGAGATATGGTCTGGAAACTTGGCAAACGTCGAAGTCTCTATAATAAGGGACCAGTCATTATTTACGGCGGGAGGTGGCACCGAAGAGAAAACGGTTGGGTAAAACAATTTTTGACTGATTACTATTTTTGAGTAAATCAAAAATAAAACAACTCAACGGTTTGGTAATAAAAATTTATTGTCATTTCCAAAGCATGACTCGCTCAAATATTGAAGACTTAACTGAGTGAGCGTCAATTAACAATCATATGTCAGTACAATATATATGTAAATCAATCACGGTCACAATCTTGATCATTTTCCGATTTTTCTAGATGCAAATAGTGTCTCCACAGAAAGTACATGTGCAGACAGCATGAAACTTTAGACTGTAGAGAATTGTACAAACAGTTATCAAACTCAATGTCACAGAAGTGGTTAGGACATGTGATGTGTGACAAATGAACGGTAGCCTTTTGTAATGTTTTTGGATAGGGGTAGGTATTTATTTTTTAACGGATATTTGAGTAGGGGGTTAATGATTGGACCAGCAAATTATTTACCAAGAAAAAAACTTCTCTTCGGTGATATTCCTCCACCATAAAAATGACCAGTTCCTAATGACCCACGATTTTATGTTTTTAGAGACGACTTCGTCGCGCACAAAGCTTTTGAAATTTTGATAATTGCATTCCAACAGAATTGCGAAATAATCTGACCATCAGACTGCAGGAAAAAAGCCATTTCACGCTTTCGGAAAGTGCGTCATCTTTGCTATAGAGCCTCGTTTTCGTGATTGAGACGTAGGCTTTCTGCATGATGTCAGATACACGAAAATGAAGCTCTATAGCCAAAGTGACATATACGAAGGGTGTATCCGTGTATAATGGGAGGGAAAGCCGAAAACAAGTGCGCTAAACCATACAAGACACTTGTTGCTTACAAAGAGTATACAGTGTTTGTAAACTATACGGATGCGTATAATTAATTTAAAGTTAGTGCAAATTAACGCTAAAAACTGTTACTTATACAGCAAGGCCTATAATATAGGAGCGTTCATCCAAACATTTAGTTCATCCTAGCATGTTATATGTATTTTCTCGCTTATACTATACCATTAAATTTATTGTTTATTGTCTATATATAAAAAAAAACTGCATGTCTGCTACAAACGTGTCATGATGTATTATACTTCAAGTTATATGTGCATGGTTGTAAATAATCCAGTTGGTTATCAATGTTATTATTTTGGATCAGTCATTTCGTTGTCATGTGCACCAGCGATGGTTGGTAAAGATGCATCTCCATAATATTCTTCACTGCCGATCTTTCCCCAAGGAAGCATTACTACATAGAAGAAAATGAAGAGCAAAACAAGCATGCCTTGTACTAACACCGTGTACGGCAACTTTCGAGTTGCTGATTCGAAGTCATCCACCTGGGTTCTCAAAACGAATATTCCAACAAAGAATCCCACGAAAATTAAGGTAAGCACAATCTTGATCATTAGCATGCTCTTTAATTTCTCTGCCAGGAAAAGCATGATATGTGCAATGACTACAAGACCAATGTTGAGCATTTCGAACAATAAATATGCAGCCGCCGCACTAAAAAATGCCTTTTCAGGATCGAAAGCAGTCGTACGGTAGCAAAAGACGTGATCATCTTTCGAGAGGGTTGAACAATTGACTGGCGATTGATCGAAAGAAGATAATTTCACATCAGCAAATGCCACTTCGTCTATCTCTTTGAAACAATCCAAGTCAGGATCGTGCTTACATTCAAAGCTCACTTCAAAAAAAGCGAGAAGAAAAAAACACTGCACACATATTGTGAGAATGATCAGTGAATAAATCATAAAATATTTTCGACTTGACGATGGAAGTTTCCTGTCGCAGACCAGGTATACCGCCTTTTTGTCGATATTCTTTTTACTGATAACGCTTTTCATCATGATAAGCGTCAAGCCTTCGCCTTTTCGACAGCAACACCAAACCATGCCACCAATGATAAATGTTGCAATTGGTGGTACGAAACACAAGGCCGCAATAATAGCTGTATAGAATACCAAATCCATCCTTCTTCCTTTGTTCTGTCCGTTTTTTTTGCAAGGTGAACTATAAGGGAAGAATTTGAGAAGATATATTCTATGCATTTGACTGTCTCATATTCCAAACATATTTGCTCAGTTCAGTAGCATGTTTACACTTCTAAACGTTTCCAAATGGTATGGCCATGCATTGTACATACAATCGTGGACAAAACAACCGCGACGTTTTTCGACCAAATTTACTGGGAAAAAATGTGAAATCCGTACTACATGAAATTTGCAATTGCACCACTAGATCCATAGTATATCCATACCATTTCAATGCTATATCCATAGTATGGAAATGTATAATTATTATGGATAATCAAAATCCATTCTATTTCCAATAAAGGTGCATACAATTTCCATTCTATGACCTTCTATGGATTTTCACAATTTTTCTAGTGAATTATTGTCTCAAATTATGTTCTTAGAAAAATACAGTTAAAGCAATTGACTTAGTACGTTCAACATTGTTTGGGGGCGGAGGATATGTAACTGCATTATTGCATTCGAACAGTAAGAAGGTAACAGAGGCGAGAAATGCTTTAATATATTACCGCTTACGATTTTGGGCAGTATTGGCAGGTTTTCAATTCCCCCTCCGTAGCTGCCCAAGAAAAAATTACGCAGTTTCGTATAATGTGAAGTAAATGTATCCAAAACATTGGTACGTTGTAGCGTACATAGCGTCTACTGGATCAAGAACAAAGAATGTTTAGTGTGAATAAAATACAATTTTATTAGAATAAAGATATAACATATCACACAAATATACACTTTAATTTAAATAGTAGCTTCCATAGCAAATCTGGCGTGTCAATCAGTCCTTAAATGTTAGTATATTAATTATACTATTTCCAACATATTCATTTTTCGCAATATAGTTTGCATCGGCGTACGAGACAGGGGCGGGGGGTAACTGCCCCCCCCCCGAATTTTGGAAAACCATGGAAATTCGGGCAAATGCTAGGAAAAATCAACAAAATTCGGGCAGATTAATCAAAAATAGATTAAATTCAAGTAATATCATTACAATCCTCAAAACAATTCGGAAAAAATTTCAACTGCTCTCCTGGAAAGCATTAACCCCGTACTCCTATGATAGTTTGCAACCAAAAACGTTTATTGACAGTAGGCGATATCTCTCCAAAGATTTCTTCGCTTTTGTGTTCCGATGACACGATGGCTGGACGTGATGAAGTTTTGCATTCAATCTGAAAACAACGTTATACACTTGTGAAATATAGTACGTATCTTTCCAAGTTAAACATATAGACATTCCATGTTGATACTTCCAATTTAACATTTTTCTCTAAATGTATATCACATGCTTTAATGAATATTGCTTTTTCTTTATTTTATTTTCTTTGACGTGACAGAGGCCATGGAAAAGTTACGTTATGTCAACCTTGATACTTCAATTTAGTTTGTTGCACATAATATAAATGTCCGTACGAAAGGGTCGATCAACGGTCCATTTTAATGGTCCAATCTGTTAGGGATACAACTACAAAAAATGGTAAATTTCTTATTCCCCCAGGAATGGACACTTTACAGTACACAATATTCACAGGTAAATACTGTATATATCAGAAATTAATTCATAACTAGAAATACATGCATGGAACAACCCTCCCCTATATATTTTCCAAACATTGTTTCAACATGCATGAAGTATTCGTAATTATGCCAACGGTGAACGCAGGCTCGCGCTGCTACGTCATGTTAGTCATGGTAACACGATAATTGTTTTTAAATTTTTTGTACAAACCTGCAAAAATAGATGCAACGTGAACACTTTTAAATACAGAACTATCAATTTATGGGCTTTATTTTAATGTAAAATTCCAAACGAAACTCTACGTAAAACTTTTTTAAATGTGAATTGAAATTAACGCACTGCTTTTTGCCGATATCAGACTCTTCAACTAGAGCTTCAACTTATTACTCGCACTTTGAAATAAAATAAGTTTAATTCGTACAGGACGCTAATGAAAATAATTTGCTTTCCTTTTTATCATGAACTTCTACAACAGTTTTAAATTTAACTAAGAAACTTTCGCATACAATGAATAGGAAAGACTTGAACAACAAGAACGAAGTCTATAAAAAACTAAAGGTCACACATAAACAATAGAAAAAAACTTGCCCTATGCTTTAGGATTTCTCATACTAAATTAATTCTTATAAATGTTTATGTTTAAAAATTGAAAAAACGTTTTACAATTTGTTACCTGAAACGATTTTCCAAGGCTTGGGGAAAATGTCTTTGATGTTTTAAAATATATTATAGAAATGTCAACTTTACAAAAAAAGTCATTCCTGCCACAAGGAAACTGGGAATGCAACTTTTCACTTGTTGTATAGTTAAGGTACATTCATTTTATAGTTATTACAATTTTATGATATAAAATATAAATTTAGTAAATATAATATAAAATTATTTCATTCCCTTTCACCGTACAATATATCAAAAGTATATGTTATTACTTCTCTCAGCATCTCGCCAATTGAATACACGAGACTGTATATACTCTCAAAAAAGCTTACTATATACCGCTCTAAAAACTCAAAACAGCTTACCTTAATACCTTTTCTTCGACGCTCGAAATTTGCAAAAATAGAATGAGTATTGAGTGTATTTATAACTAAAGTGTACACTGTCTGAATAATCAAAACCAATTATCGTAAACAGTTCGGAAACTTTCGTAGATGTGCGAGCTTATAGAGCTTGTTCGCAGTTTTGCTGATATATTTTAGAGAAAAGGGCCAAGATGTTTGAGTGTATAGGGGGGGAAGCACCATGATGGCGCGTGGGGGTTATATAGTTAAATAGTTATATAGTTAATAAACTAGGCCATGGATGTAACTAGCTTACGGAAATTTTAAGGAGAAATTCGACGGTGGGGCTTTAGCTAAGTAGGCCTACCAACGAAAGCATTATTATTATTATTGGAGTTACTAGCGGGAACAGGATATTTACACAACTAGCATTTATACTAAGAATATAAAAGCAATTACGTGACAAAAAATAATACCAATCAGATCGATTTCGTCAAAACAAAGTATAAAAAAAATTACAGCATATATTAATAGAGATATAAAGAAAACTAGAACAAATTCAACAAACTGTATGAAATAAGTATGGAATAAGGTAAATTTGAAATTGTAAGGATATGATAAGTCAATACTGTATCGCTGAGACGATAAGTACATGATAGATCGACTTAGAGATTAATAACATTACATAATTAGTATTCACTTTAGTATTTGATTAACGCAACCGGAAACACGAGATGCATGCTATGAAAATTAGAGATTCTGAACTGTTGAGCTGTATGCGAAATGCGCATATCTGCCTGAAAGTCTGTTCTGTTTAACTGTTTATTGCTAACCGGAGAATTAACGCTGATAGTATGTAGAACGTGGGAACCCGGCAAGAAGTAAGTACTTAGAAATGATATATAATGAATGCGGGTGATTTATACAGGTCAGATAATTTTGTAATCAATTTATATTTGTATTTTGCACTTTAGATCGAATAAATAATTCTATAGCTATTCAACTTCATATCAAATCCATTAATAATAAACTTTATACGATTCCGTGGTGTGTCCTACGTCTACATCCTGGCCTGAGATTCCAAATACTATGTGCATTTTCATGTTACCTGTAACATTGGGCACAGGTAACATGAAAATTTGTTAAGGGTAAGCACGAATTCACACTGGCTCAGCCAGTTAAAGATTGAAAACGTTATATAACATTCAAAACCAAAGGAAATAATCTTGCTGTCCTAAAAGTTCAAGAACATGGAAATCAGTCTTGAAATAGAACTGCATAACTTCAAGAATCTGGGACGGTAGAAAATCACTAGGGCCCCAAATATTAAATTTGTTTCGGGTCCCCAAATTCTACTGTGCGACTCTGTCTAAATCCATTTGTGCTGAGCATGCAGTTCTGAAAGTACATATGTACAGTTACGAAGTAAACGAAAAGATAACATCAGAATATGCTTGTCATTTCCCTTATGCATGGATACTCCAAAAAATGCCTGAAATTCAGTTAATCATCGAATATAAAAAAATGTTCTGCTAGACGACCACCAGAAGACCACTTTATATATCTTCTTTATAAATCACTTTCGGTGCTGCACTGTTAATTTTAGGGTGTTAAAATAACACCAAAAAGTGGTGTTAAAAAATTAGGTAAAAAATGACACTACTTTTTGGTGCTATTTTAACACCACTAAAAAAGTGTTAAAATAACACTAGATATGGTGCTAAAACAACACCCATTTTTAGTGTTAAATTAGCACTAGTTTTTGGGGTTAATTTAACACCTGTTTATAGTGTTAAACTAACACCACTTTTAAGTGCTAAAGTGACACCAGTTTTAAGAGTTGATTTAACACCTATAGTGTGGTGTTAAAATAACACCTGATTTGGCTCCTATCTGGTGCTAAAATAACACCAGATTTAAGGTGTTCATTTAACACTTTCAACCAGGCACATTAAGATACACACAAAAGAGAAATATAGGTTCAAAATTGGTTATTATTATAAATTACTCGCTGACAAGAAATACCTTTAACATGCATGAATTTATATGAACTAAGTATTTATCACGATTAATTTCAGAGTCCAAGCTCACTTAAAAGTTGTTGTACAGAAATTTTGTTCTCGGCATCAGCAGGGCGGTTTAAGGTGACAGCTTCTAGATTGTAGAAATGCATAAACACTCGAAACACCTGGAGGGTATTCCATATTTAGAACATGGAATGTAGCAATAAGTATGTGGAATATTTTTACCAGCAAAACGCAAGTAAATTTGCCCCACGGCAGCAATGTATAATGGGTGCAAGGATGCAATGTCACCTGATGCCAAGATTCAAGGATAGCTATAGGTTGATTTCCTCACTTCTTCATCAATGGACAATGGGGTCGTCATCCTAAAAGTATTCATTTTCACATTAGTCTATACAGTATACATATTTAGTAATTTTAGATGTTGTCAAGTTCTAATGCAAATGCTGTATTCTGATTGGCTTTACGCTATTCGTTGTCTAATTGTCAATGAGATAGCTAGCTAGAGCACAAACCATCTCTTTGTTGAGACAAATAAGCATTGATCACATGCAATGATAGGATAAGAGATGTGCCATCTCACCTTAACACTACATGTAGCAATTTTAATTACTTCAAAAGGAGTATGCACAGTATATAACAGAGGGTAGCCATTGAGCAAGTGCCCCTTAACTATATAATTAATCACTGTTACAGTTCAATTCCATTTTGCCATTGAAAAATCATGTCAAATACATCGCCATTTCAAGAATGAAAAACTACTTCATTATAATGTGTCAAATGGGTCATTTGGGTCAATAGTGTCACAATAGTGTCAAATGGGTCATTTGTCCAGGACGGATAAGAGGTGTGCCATCTCACCTTAACACTACATGTAGCAATTAATATTTTTCAAAAGGAGTACAGTATCTAACAGGGAAGCCATCGAGCAAGTGTCACCTAGCTTAACTATATAATTAGTCACTGACCAGTACAGACTGGCCCGTACAGTCCAATTGCATTTTGCCATTGAAAAATCATATCGATACATTGCCATTTTAAGAAAGAAAAATTACCCCCATTATAGTGTTAACTGTGTCAAATGGGTCATTTGTCCTGGATGGATAAGAGATGTGCTATCTCACCTTAACACTACATGTGGCAATTATTCTACTTTAAAATGAGAATCTGTTGCAATAAGAACTTAATTAGGTTTAGTGTATCTTTTGACATGGTTGAGAAATAGAATTATGTTTGGGGATTTTATAATGTGAACATTATATCATAATCAATATTTTCACTCTTAAATATTAATACTCAGGACTCTCCCATTGATAGCCCAATGATAGGTAAAATTATCTCTGTCATTATACCGTAAACCTCCGGCTATAAGCCCCCCCCCCCGACTATAAGCCCCCCTCGAATATAAGCCCCCGGAATATAAGCCCACCACATATACTAACGCTCAATTCATTCCAAATATAAGCCCCCCCCCGAACATAAGCACACCCAAATATAAGTCCCCCGAATATAAGCCCAGTAGCCCACTACGTTATTCAACATTTTCATTGTCTTTTAATATAGCAGAGAACGATATTTAAAAACATTGTCATTGTCTTTATAGCCGACTACATGTTACGTTAATCAAAGCACATTATTAATGGATGTATATTTTCCTGTTTATGACTTGTTTATGTCTGATTTGTTTATTACTAACACAAAAGATCATCCATGTATTAGCCCCCAGCGTATATAACACACCCCCCCCCCCTTGTATAAGCCCATCAAAAATCACTTACGAAAGTATATAAGCCCAGGGCTTATAGTCGGAGGTTTACGGTATAAGATCCCCTTGGCAAATTAGATAAAAATTGTCTGCGTTAGCCAGAATAAAACAATAAAATAAGGTATATTTGGGAACATTGCAGCTTAATGGTTAAAAATCAAATATAAAATTCGAGTTGGCAAAAATATTCATGAAACACCAGCTCAGGTCCAGCTGTGTAGTGTATACTGTATCTCATCTCACAGACAGTATTAATAAAATAAATTCCATCGTTCAGTAATCAATATAAAACATTACCG